GGGGGGGGGGGGGGGGGGGGGGGGGGGGGGGGGGGGGGGGGGGGGGGGGGGGGGGGGGGGGGGCACATGCCCCTTGTTCGTGCAGGGTGCGTTACGTGCATGTTCAAATTATCTCGGGTTTGTTTGGGTTGACGTTGTTTATTTTTTCCGTCAGGGGGAAGATATGGGATCCGGTCATCATGTTGTTCGAATCCTCTCAGGAATGGATGGAGTTTTTCGTTTACCCGGTGTGTGAGGGGGGGGGGTCTAGAAGATGCGTAAGGTCATTTAGTGTTGACCGATTTTCTGGGCAGAAGATGTCGAGAGGTCCGGTTTACTACGAACATGATACACGAACTCTCGTGGTCGTGGTTTTAACAAAGGGGGGATGAAAACGGCAGCGGGAGGGGGGAGCTTAGATTGAGTCTTCTAGAGAATTTACAAGACAGGAAAATGCGGAGAGATTTTGTTGTGTGGGCCGTGTCTTTCCAGATTTGGGAACGGCAATAGTTGTGAATTTCCCCCTTGCTGCCCAGTCCGCCGTGCCGTCCATTGCCTCGCACCAAATGCCAGCTGGTGCTCACGTTTGTCACATCTCGGACGGCATTAATGCTGTTAAGGTGTGCAGCAGGGTGTCTTTTCTGTACTTCTGGACGACGAAAGAGCATCGCACACCTCTTATGCGATCGCTCACGCTCCGTCCTGCTCTTCATGGAACGGGCGGTAGGTAGGCAGCCAATTGTCTCTTACATTCAAACGGATCGCGCTTCCGCAGTACTACCGTGCCGCCATTGTCAAAAGGTCTAGCTGTGTGCTGCTTCCAGCGGAGGTGAGGGGGGGGGGGGGGGGGGGGGTACTCATAGTCGTGCATGCCGTAGTCGTTAGACCATTGACCTCGCAGGGGGTTATCGGTTGCTTGAATGTTTCGCCAGATCAATTTTCCCATCAAGGCCGAACGTCCTTGCTTTCGTGTGTTATGTGTGCTAGAGTTGCTGTGTTTATCGTGAATAGGGGTTGGGGGCAATACAGGGAGGGAGTCCTGATGGATTTGGCGCAGGGCGGCATCCTGACATCAGGACCGGTCACTTACGNGGGGTGTACTCATAGTCGTGCATGCCGTAGTCGTTAGACCATTGACCTCGACGGGGGTTATCGGTTGCTTGAATGTTTCGCCAGATCAATTTTCCCATCAAGGCCGAACGTCCTTGCTTTCGTGTGTTATGTGTGCTAGAGTTGCTGTGTTTATCGTGAATAGGGGTTGGGGGCAATACAGGGAGGGAGTCCTGATGGATTTGGCGCAGGGCGGCATCCTGACATCAGGACCGGTCACTTACGACGTACATACGAACTACACGAGTTGCTGGCCAAATGCCATCCAGCCTCTCATATGTATTCTTTTGTTTTCTATTTCCTTTGTCGGGCCGAAGGGAAGGGCACACCCACTCCCCCTCTCCTTGCGTGCGACCCATGGGTCCTCGAGAGAGCTGTGGCGCTTTTGCGTGAACTGAGAGAGCTCTGTGCAAAGATTTTGTGCGGCGGCTTGGGCATGCAAGTGCGCGTGAGAGAGAGAGGTCAGTCACACCAGAGCGGTTCGGTGGGCGGCGGCGTTCCCCACCGTGGAAAGCCCGCGGCAGCAGCACCTACAGCTGTAGCGGCAGCAGAATCTACGGCTGTCGCGACAGTAGCACCTACAGCGGGGCGGCTTGGGGATCATCTTCGTGGGGTGGGGTGAGGGTGCTTGGGGATCGGTTTTGCGTAGGACAGCAAGCAGCGTAGGCATGCATGTGTCGTGTGGGGTGGCGAGTTCCTGGATGTTTGCTTGTTGCCGAATCCTTCCTGAATCGAAAACAAGAAAGCAACGCTCTCTTATCTTTGTTTTCTATGTTTCTTAGTCTAGAAAAATAGCTCTTATGTGACAGCAGTGTGCGATGGAGGTCGGGCGGGAGGGGACGGGGACCAGACCCGAGTCTTGTCCGGTACAGTATTTGTTTAGCACCGGAGGGTCCGTAATTTGGGGGTTGTATTGTGAGCGAGACGAGACGCGTCTGAAAAATATCAACAGTGAAGATGATACCCTGTGCGGAGCTCCTGCGGAAGACTACCGTCTTGATTCGGTTCAAGCTTTCGGGGCTGAGGCAGATGATACCCAGACGGACCTACCTGTTTTCCTCTGCCTCTTTGCGTCTGACTGGTGAAGCACTACATACCAGTGGAGGGAAGTTTTAAGTTTTGTCTGCATTTCGGATCGACTACGCTGTGGTGTCTCTGAAGCAACGCCGCTGGTCTGTCGCCCTTGACAGTGCTAAAAGCTAAAAGAGCGCTTCCACGGCGACGCAACGGGGTTCGTAACCCACGGCCAGACGTGCATGCGGGAAGACAACCCCGTGTTTTTATTTGTAGTCTTCCCCCATTTTCCCTCATGTGTTACATACGTGGATTCATGCGAGCACAGGTTTTATCTCCCTCGTCAACACGATACGCGGAGAACAGAACAACTCTCGTACAGCAACGACAGCTCTATCTCGGAATCGTCACGGAACGCTACCTATCAGCAACAACATATTGTCCCCTGTTGTGAGGAGGTGCTACAAGAGTCCTAGGCATGTGGGCGGGCTTCGAGGGACGGGTTTGGAAACCGCTTGTCTCCCTTGTAAACACAACCTTGCAATCCCCAACAATCCCTGCGTGCGCTATTACTTGTGCCCGTGTTGTTTCGAGGACGCCTTCGTGCGGCGGACTTCAGCTAGACTAGCCACAAAAAACAAAATTGCTCCACTTGGTACCACCACCAGCAACCACCAACACCAACTTCTGTGTGCACACCACGATCACAAGATAAAGAGCCTACGTATGTGTGTGTGTTCGTCCAATCCACCTGTTCAGGCGCCGGTCTACACGCCGTCCGTGGAGTGTGTATCTGACGTATCAGCCGGGGTCACACAATAGGCCACAGAAAATAGCCTAGGCACACTACGCATGGCAAAGCATGCCACAACAGCGAACACCATCAGACAGCACCCGCACACCACAAGAGGGGGGGGGGCTTCGGCTGACTGGGCAACCTTCACCCGGGTCCTGTGTAAGTATCCGGTCGATCTAGGTGGCAACGATAAGCGCACAGCAATGACACTTGCGAAGAGCATGATACCCCGGGGAATGTATCGTCGTCGTTGCTTCTAAAGTTGAAAACTGCTCCCATCTCTATCGACTTGCTTGTACCACATCCGGGTCGATCACATACAATGGCCACAAACAATGAATAGCTAGGTAAACCTCAAAAACGAGCACGCCACGTATCACACCCACGTGCTTGTCTCCCACGGCGCATTAAGCAGCCCAACACTACCAAAGCATCTTCACACTGCTGCGTGCGGTGGCTCCTGGACCGGTTCTTCCATCAGCTAGCTCAAGCTCTACGCAACGGATCCCGTGAGATCCTTCCGGTCTGGCCACACACACACACACCCTCTCCGCCTCGGTCACCGGTCAACATACGTTGATCGGAGCAGCACAGGGTTCGTCTGCTGCTCCAGCCGTCACCCACGCCGTTTCTCCTCGTGCACAAACCGTCAAAACCTCCAATATACAATGCGCTGTACTCGACCGGCTGGTGTCCAAAACTGCCGCGAGCAATCCCGTCAGCTTCCGTCTTAACTCTTTCCGGTGAGGTATGCCGATTTCCCATCATCTCCGGCAGCTTTCGGCGCCATTCCCTGTCCTTCCGCCGCCGAGTTGAGCAGAGCTACTAGCGCTTGGATCTGCTCATGAGGAATATATTTTTCGGGTGGGGGGCGACATGGTACGAAAACGGGG